GGGGGGATATGGGGCAGCCCAACATGTTTGGGGGTGATGGGGGTGTTCAGTGCTTGATTGTGGGGTCATGGGGTCCCAGGGCAACAGGGTCCTCCCAAAACCAGGGGGTCATGGGGTGCAGGGACCCCAGCGACATTGGGGGTCCCTGGACAATGGGGTCCCCCCAAAATCTATGGGGTCTCAGGGTGGGTGGTGGGTTGGGGAGGGTCCCTGATGTCACCATACTTAGGTCATTCCTGGTCCCCAGGAGGATGATGACAGCATCCTGTCCCCTGACGGCCTCGGACACTGCCACGGGGTCCCGTGCATCCCCCAAAACCACACGTGCCGGTTGATGCTGGGCTGGCAGCCGGGCCCGATCCCGTACCAGCACTGTCACCGTGTACCCTGGGGGGGACACACAGCACCCAGGGATGGGTGGGGGTTCCCCAAACCTTCGGCCCAGAGGCCAGATCGGGCCCTGTTGCCATCGCGTGATGATGAGTCAGCAATTTGGGCATGGGGTGACTCAGCATTCCTTCTGCCTGCCCCATAGGGGCTCTATGGGGCACACAGGGGCTCTGCCTGACCCATAGGGGCTCTGCCTGACCCATATAGACTCTATATGGCTCATACAGGCTCTGCCTGGCCCCACATCTGCCCCATAGGGGCTCTATATAGCCCACACGGGCTCTGTCTGCCCCATAGCGTCTCTGCCTGACCTGTATAGGCTCTATACAGCTCATATAGGCTCTGCTGGCCTCACATCTGCCCCGTAGCATCTCTGCCTGACCCTTACAGGCTCTATACAGCTCATACGGGCTCTGCCTGTCCCCACACCTGCACCATATAGGCTCTATATGGCCCATACAGGCTCTGCCTGCCCCAAAGGGACTATGTGTGCTCCATAGGGGCTCTCCCTGCCCCATACGGGCGCTATCAGCCCCATACAGGCTCTATTGGCCCCATAGGGGCTCTATCGGCCCCAAACAGACCGCATCTGCCCCAGATAAACTTTATCTACCCTGGGCAGGCTGTGTTGGCCCCATGTAGGTTCTATATGGCCCCAACGGGCTGGGTCTGCCCCACATATAGCCTCTATATAGCCTGGACAGGCTGGGTCTGCCCCATAGAGGCTCTACAAGGCCCAGCCATGCCCCCAGCATCCCCCAGCTCCTAC